CACTCATTTCACCTCTGAATGTTCTTGCATTGTTTCACACATGAGCTTTTGGGAACACCTCACATCCAAAATATAGAATTCTGCTCTTGATCTCCAAAAGTTCATGACCATCTCACAATGGAAAATACATTTAGTTCATTTCCAAGAGTTTCCATAGTCTCAACAGTTCTAAGAGTGTCTAAAAGTTCAAGTCCGAAGTGTTTTCTGAAACTYAGGGCAATCTCGCAGTTTGAGTTCCTATAAAAAAAATCAAGAGCAACTTACAAGTATCYGCTATGTAAAGGTATGGAGGAAAGACAGTGGGATGAATTTGCCATAGCTTTCCTATGTTCATATATGAATACACCACAATGAATCTCCACACCACATACAACCACAAGAATGGGATCCTAATTAGAATAAGTTATACTCTATGTATAGATACATGTCAAAATATTCTCTACTATCATATATATATCTAAAAAGAAAAAATAAAAATAAAGGTACAGAGTCAATAGTCCCATTCAGAAAAATAGGTGTATAGAAAGAAGGATGGGACCAGAGCAAGACTAAAATCCAGCTGGACAAACAAGTCCTGTAGTTTCATATCCAGCATCTGGAGCACATGGCTTTGTGATATTCTCTCTAAAAGGCTTGTGTAGCTCTGCCCCCKTGTCTTTGCTGGTTGCAACCCACATGGCTTCTCTGTTGGCTTGTCTMTGCTCAAYTCCTRCAATTTTGGTGGGACAATGTCTCACATTTCTGGCATTTCTTAATCCCTGGGGTCTCCACTGCAGCTTTACTTCCTTCCACATTTCTACACTTCCCCCTTGCAGGGGCTGCCCTCAGGGATTCCAGCCCTGGGACAACTCTGACTTTTTATTATTGTACTTGGGGTGGGGAATGATAGTGTATTTTTAATACTATGCTGGGTAGTTGGCAGAAGTATGACTTTGTTATATCCCTGAGGGCTATAAACACTCTTAGAGGGATTTGGTTACAGAGCAAATCTTTATTTTCTGATTAAGTAAGTKTGTGGGGATGTATTTCAATGACAACTTGCCAGGATAAAATGTGATGCCTATGATTCAACTTGACAAGGCTGAATTACTCACTTATTCAATTAAATGCTAGTCCAGATGTAACTGTGAAAAATGTTTTAGTTAGGGTTAACATGAAATTWGTCAATTTCAAGTACAGGAGATGATCCCTGGGAGGTGGACCTATCCATCCATCAGGAGGCCTTGAAAGCCAAGCTGGCAGATGGTGAACAGGGCTTGTCCCTGAGAAATTCTGCAAYAGCTTGTTTTTTGTCCAGGGAAATCCATTTCAGACATCTGATCTCCAGAGCTGTAAGACTATAAACATGGGTTGTTTTAAGTCATTATAGTGGTGATAGTTCATTATAACAAAATAGGAAGATAGCACAGGTACAGACAGGCAGCACAAAGGGAAGAGATAGAAGAGGGCCAGCAGGTGGCCAGAGGTTAGGTGCACAGAGATGTGGTAGGAGACAGGTAGGCAAACAAACAGATAGAGAGACTGCAGGCAGGTGCGATACAGAAAGGTAGACATACGGGAGGGCAAAAACAGGTAACAAGAAGATAGAAGGGCAGGCAGTAGGTGCAAAGATCGGGCCTTGTCCCTACCAGCATTAGTGGAGCTTCCTGAGATGCAGGTGGAACCCATTCTTGGACTTTAACACAATACGTTGCACGGGGAAGGGGACTTTGGTGGAATCCGGCAGCAGCTCAAAGCGAAGCAGGGTAAGGGCCACGGCCACCTTCATTTCATTCATGGCAAATTGCTTCCCRATGCAGTTCCTGGGCCAGGTAGGGACAAGGTATAAAAAGTGGCCTCAGGTTCCATTGTGAGCTGGCAAGGCATTGGCCCTTGAGCCCCARCCCAAAGCAGGGCCTTCTCTCATGGGACCAGAACAGTGGTTTTCCTTATAGGCCCCTAATGCATCTTCCCCCAGCCTGGCTTACACTCTCTTGACCTTGACACAGCCTACCACTGTTTCAGAACCAGCCCTGACCCTACTTCTGCTCTCATTGACATGAARTCTATTAGGATAGTGCCAGAACTCTAAGGCAGAGTCTCATCACATGAATCTTTTAAACAGCTAATCATCGGTTAGTTCACTCCCTTCACTAATAGTTTCTGGTTCCCCAGTTGTGGATACCACTGTTCAGGGCTGCATGGGGAGCAGTGGGCCACACTCTCAGGGAGTGTGCAGTAGACAGGGATCCTAAAGAATAAAGTGTCCTGGGACCACCAGTTCCACCATACCCACTGTTTTAGTCAGTTTTTTTCAAAGTTGTGACTAAAAGACCAGAAAAAAACAGTTTTAGGGATGATAAGTGGGGGCGACCACCTTCAGTTACCACTCAGTTAATCTCTATCAGGAAATTAATTCACTGATTGGATTAATGCTTTCATAACCCACTCATTTCATCTCTGAATGTTCTTGCATTGTTTCACACATGAGCTTTTGGGAACACCTCACATCCAAAATATAGAATTCCCATAGAATTTCACCATCAATGGGARAAAGAGTACCTATTCCTGAAAGGGGAGACACATGTCTGTGGAGAAAATCCTGGAGGATTCATCAGGTTTAGTATCCTTAAGCTGCAGCCATATCCGTGTCTCAGTGGTGAGGCTCCTACCTCTCTCATACCCCTCATTCTACCAGTGTTGGTTGCCTTTTAATTCCATTCTGGAAATGTCCCTACTAGTCATATCTGTATCTCCTTTCCTGGGCCTGTGTTGTGTCCCTGGCTCCTCTCCTTCTGTAGTGAAGCAAAAACCCAACCCAGATACTAAACATGTGCTCTGTGCAGTTAGGACACTGTCCAAATACCTTGGCTTTTCTCTACCCTTTATGGGCTGATTTCTTGCTTGTTTCTTGTCTGTCCAGTCCCATTCTAAGCTCAGATCATGTTCTTCAGGATGTCCTCCCTCCAACTCTGCCTACACATCTTCTAGGCTTAGGCCAATGACCAGTTGGCCTTCACCTCTCTCTCTCCAAGTCACCCTAGTGTTTTATTCAAGGACACACCACACTCCAGAGCCTTTGACAGTTTCGAGGACATTCCACAGTTGTTCAATGAGTGGTGAGTGAGTGAAAAAATGGAAGGAGGGAAAGATGCCCATCTTGGGTATAGGTATCTGATTCTGTACCACCGGTTTCTGCTTTTGTTCTGAACCAGCAGTGGTATTCTATATCTCTGTGTTTCCATCTCTAAGCATAGGACTTGGTGCAGGGAAATATATCTTTTCAATCTTTATATGTGAATTAAGTTAAAGAAATTGAAAAGCACTCAGTAGATGACACTGAAAATAAATGTTAGTTCTACCTAGAAAATGATATATCTAGACTTTCCTATCCCTTCGTGTCAGCAACATTATTTGTAGCCAATGTCTAGGAAGAAAGAAGTAGCCAAAAAAATCAAAATTTGGAAAAACCAATGTGAATTATCAAGTTGCTGAAAGCCTGTTCTAAAGCTGATACGCATTTGAAGAATTCACATAATCATGAATCAGAAAAAAAATCTTTGTTTCTAGTAATATTTACAAGGTGTATGGCAAAGTATATTCCAGAAGACAATTCTTGAGTGTTTGTGGATGGCCACAGCAGCCCTTTGGAGTATGCTTACCCAGCTTCATGGTTCCTTCAAGGTTCTATATTGTACATATCAGGTGACTTTCAAGCAATATGCCATATACAAAATAGTGGATTTTTCCTCCAAGGCAATTTATTGTCCTCATTTTTATCCTTTTTGTCTGAAGTTGGACTATATGTGCTTTAAGTATAATTTTAAGGTAAGTTCTCACTTGGTTTTTCAAGTTTTTACAACTTGGAAAGCTACTAGAGGAACATGAACATTCACATGCAATCAAAAATCATGTTGGGAGAGACTGCAAATGTGGAGAGAATGCCCATCACTGTAAACTGTTTTCAAAGGGCAACAGTAACCTTTAAAGTATCTGCACAGTTGGCATATGCCATGCTTACAGAAAACAAACCCAAATCCACTCATCATTTGCTTCAGTGATCCAAGAATTAGTGACTTGAACAAAAAGGGTGGTGGGCAGAGTTGAGACTATGTGGGGGAGACGACTCTATATAATAAGGACCAAAATTAAGGGGCATAAAACTGAATTTAAGTTTACATGAGCTTTCCTAATTCATAATCATACCCCTAATGTGTGGAAAACACCAAAACACACTGATGCTGAAATTTGGCCCTTAGGAAGGACAGTGGGCCAATGTCTCTGTGGCATAACTTGAAATGCAACCTGCTTTTGGGCACAGATATACCCACCTAAGTCTTCTTTGTTTCATCCACCATCTAAAAGGGCATATCTAGAGCTGCTACATGGCAGTGAAGGGACCACAAACATCAGGTTTGTGCCCAGAGACTTCTCTTTYCTTATCCCACCACCAACACAGGACAGCTCACCTAGATCCCCCTGAAAAAGGCAGGAATGAATGGCTGTGTCGAGTAGAACCGGGTGCAAATCGGAAAGGGTCAAACTCCTGTGGAGAGAACAGAATAGGTGAGGGTCAAGCCCTGCTTCCAACCCATGAGGGGACAGAGTGCCCAGAAATAGGAGCAGGAGGAGGTATCCTCAGAGATTATTCCCTTTCCTTCCCTCAGAACCTCCATACCTCTGGGTTTGGCCACACCTTCGGGTTGTGATGAAGGCCATAAATGGAKAGTGTGACAAAGATACCTGTAGGCAGATAGGAGATAAAGAGAAGACCTACTGAATCCATGAAGTAGGGCTATGGTCCCTTGGCCAGCAGGGGACCTGCCGACCCCAAAGGCCTGGTGCCATAAATCATGCCTTTGAGTAGTATGAGTCAAGTACAAGGAGCTGGGGGAGGGCTTGGCAAAGTCCCTGAGCACAGGTGAGGAGCAGAAAACTACAATTCAGGAAAGAGAAGCAAGAAAACATCRGAGGCTCACAGTTTGTAGTAACTCAAGTGACCACTCACTTCATCAAATGCCTTCCATCAGTCTTTGGAGAATATAAACTAATTCACTTGATATTCACAAACACCTACCAGTTGGAGGCAATTTCACAGTCTCTGAGCAGCAGTGAAATGCAAATGACAGGGAGGTTTTATCTTCATTTTTCAGATGAGGCACCAGAGGCTCAGAGAGGCTAAGTGACCTTTCTATGATCACTCAGCTAAGGTGGGTCAGGGAAGAGGTCAGACCCAATGGTAGTTGAGATAATGGTGTCCTTCTGCCATCAGAGGGGACTCAGATGTAGCCATCAGCTGGTCTCTGCCATCTACCTAAGGGCTCCTCAAAGACGAAACTATATCTGACTCCTGACATGAGATTCTTGATCTTACTCATTTGCCTTGCCCCAAGGAAAGAACYATGCCTACCTCTATCCCTGTCGTGTTCTTTCCCCAACCTCCCCACTTCTCATGAAATGAGAATTTTAGGGCTGAAGTCCCGAAACCACACCCGGAGGCTGTGAATATCCACGTGGAAAAGGTTCAGAGGGTTGAGTTATCATTGTGTTAACTGATGCGTGTGCCCTTTTGCATGTATCATAGTAGAGTTATTTATATATTCTATCAAATATAAAGGATATTTCCAAAAAAAATTTGAAAGTGAAGAAAGAAATTGTACATGTGCACTGTAATTGTTGAATCAAGAATCAAAACCTATATAGGCAGAGGAATGAAAAGTTGTGCTCCATTTGTGTACAATGTGTCAAGATGCATTCTACTGTCATGTACAACTAATTAAAGCAAAATTTTTTTAAAAAAGAACCAAAACCTGGAGTGTTGGAATAAAAAATATTAGTGTAATCCAAATGGAGGTAACTATAGTCATGAAACCGTAGACTCTAAAGGTGATTGAGTGATAGATAGCCCTGGAGAATAAAAGAAGCTCATGATTCTATTCCAGTGAAAATAAAAGGAAATTGAAAGGGATCTTAGGGATGGTTTAAGCCAATGTCCTAGATATAAAAAGTTCTTTTGATGTTGGAGGGGAATTAATTTTTATTAAATTTTCTTGTGGCCCAGGTAGGTGCCACCACTTTATATGCATCATTCTAACTAAAAAATGAGAAATGATTACTATAAGGAAAGGGAGACACAAATAGGTTCAGAACTGCTGAAGCACATGGGGATTTAGATTCTCCCTTGTCCCTKGGGAGAGCTTAGGTGAACTGAGTCTGAGATGCTCATACCTTTGGGTAAGGAACGTCCATCAGGAAAGGTGATAGGTTTGCTGAGTTTTCTGCCCATAGTTGGTACTGGTGGATAGATCCTCAGGGCCTCCTTGATGCACATGGTGGTGTAGGGCATCTGGTCCAGGTTTTCCCTGAGGTGAAGGCCATCCTGAGGGGCAGGCAGGGCCCAGGAAGACCAGCACCTTGTCCCTACCAGAGGCAGGGCTCTCCCACCTCTTGAGCTCTCACTCACCAGGTGATGGAGTCTCCATCCCCCAGGAGGCTCTGGACCTCCTCCCTGCACTTCTGCTGATGCTCAGGGTGTGTGGCCAGAGCATAGAAGATCCAGGAGATACCRCTGGCTGTGGTGTCATGGCCCTCAAACATGAAGGTGTCCACCTCGGCACGAAGGTCCTCATCAGACAGGCTGCTCCCATTCTCCATCTGGGGAGGCCATGGATGAGAAGGCAGGGTTTGTCCCTCCCTCTGCTCCTGGGCAAACCCTCAGCCTTCTTCCCACACATTTACTTTGGCAAACAGGAGGATGTCCAGGAAATCCAAGTGCCTCTTCTTCTTGATCTTCTCCAGCTCTCCCTCATCCTTCAATTGAGCTTTCCTCTGCCTGATCACTTGGTCTGTCTCAGGTTAATAATTACCAGACAAAATCAAGGGCTATAGCAACCACCAGGAGCCATGTGTGCCACCTTCCCCAATCTGGGTGCCCTATAGAGCACAAGATACATTTGGGAGCAGGTGTGTAGGCCAGTAGTGGGAGTTCAGCACCATTTGATGCAGGTCAGCACTGCTTTCAGGAGCACAGCACATGGAGACTCTGCATGAGCTCCTGGAATGGGTCTCATTTCACATTACCAATGTGAGGGCATCAGCAACCATTTCCACGCTGCCTGACCCCCTAACATTTTGGCTCCCAACACTTGCACTAGGGAAGTACCCAGCATGAATGTGTTCCAAGTCCTTCAGGGGCACCAGGAGACCTGGCTGTGCCTGAGGAGTTATTCCCAGCTCCTTTGGGCTAAGCCTGGTAAAGGAGGAGAAACAGTAGGAGAAGACAAAACCTGTGTGCTTATGGGCAATCTGGCAGGCATGGTTGGTCCAGCGACCAGCAGAGGTCAGTCTATAGATGATGTCATTCTGATGAAAGGCATTCCGCACACGAGAAGGTATCAAGTAGCTCAGGTCACTAATAGCCTTGATGTAGGCCTGGGAATTCCTGAGGGAGAGCATGCACAACAGACTGATGATAGGGAGGTCTGACCTAGAGGTAGAAAGGACTCTGAGATGAAATTTACTATGCGGTGGAGACAGGCAACACCGAGACATGGGACTTTAGAAGGTGGCATGAGCAGTCAGACTTCCACCTGTGTTGGGATTAGGGTTCTGTGACTGGTACAGGGTTGAGTTTGCTCAGGAATTAGAATTTGGCCTGGGGCTGGGGTCAGAATCTGTCTTTTTGTGAAGGTAAGCTTCCAAGTCTTTCTACCTGCCTCTCAGGTGAGTCCCCACCACTTGGTAAGAACAAGGACCCTATAGCTGAAAGCTTGTCACTGACCTGTCCAGCTGAACATTGTCTTGATAACTGAAGGCGCACTTCATGATGGAGTCCAGAGTCATCAAAGAGATGTCTTGAGAGATCTCAAATGAGTCCTCGTTGGTAAGCTTCTCCCACTTGTTCTGAGGTGGTAAAGGTACACTGATTTCAGTCCTTTCAGAATGCATGTTCTGTAAGGCTCAGCCCTCTGGGTGTCTAAGTATTCTGATGGAATTTCTTCATGTCATGAAGCAGATGTATGAAAGCAAGTTCAGGCTCTAAAGCAAGTATTTGTATTTTGTCACAAACTTTTATTATAAAGTTAAATATATATTCTCATAATGGTATTGCTTTGGTTTGAATTTAAGGAAGAAGTTATTATGAAATTGTCTTTTGCTAAGTCAGAAAACATTTTTTTTGGAGAATAAAGGGGAGGAGTACCCTGCTTTTCTGAGACCTGAGCTAGTCCAGAGGGCCAAGTAAGAAGATCCCATTTGAGGGTATAAAAGTTTGCAGCATTATGACTCCTAAAGAGAGAGGATGTTACTTCAGGAACTTCAATTCCTTTTCCTTTGACAAACTTCTGCTGAGCATATATAGGTAATAAAAACATCAGCTTTGGTGAAAGGTGATGACATAATAGGGTGTTTGTGAGAAGTGGGAGCTGGTGTCCATTTCAGTGCATGCATTATGCAAGTCCATGCAAAGGCCAAACAGAAGCCCTAGGCACTCAGGCTAGAGCATGACTGAATTGTATCCTGGGAAGTGCACCTGACACTGAAGATGCCATTGCCCAGGCCAGCCAGGGATAGGTAGTCCTGCTGTCTGATACAACTGACTATTTCTCTAATCTACTGTGCCGAAGGCTTAGAAATGGGAGGTGGAGTCTATATCCGCTATGATGCTCTCTGTCTTGCACCATAAGGAAAGTGTGACTCTATCCTGATACACGGGTCCTCTGTGAACTACTTTTGAGGAACTCTCCTCACAGTAATGGTCTCAGAGAATTTCTCCATGTGACTGATGGCTGTGGAATCTGAATATGTACTGTGAGTGGATGAATGGAAATGAAAGAGAGAGAGAGAGAGAGAGAGAGAGAGAGAGACTCACCAGCATCACTCTGACAGAGTCAGCCATGATTCCCAGGTAGGGCTTCAGGATGTCATAGTGGAAGGCTGGGGTCAACATCCGGCGGTGCTGGAACCACGTCTGCCCATTCAACAGGAGCAAGCCATACCCTGGGTCATACATGGTTGTGTGCATGAGTGAGTGGTCAATAGGATCAGAGGGAGACTTGGACAATTTGAGAGAAACAGATGGTGTGAGAAGAAGATCCAGATTGCAGAACTTCTTTGAACAAAGACAGTAATGACTGGCACTTTTCAGAAAAATGAATTTCCCAATTGGGCTGGTGTATCTGATGTGATTACAACAGCTGTGAGGTAATTGTTAAAGGAGTTGAGAACAGGGTGGGGAGGGGCATAAATAAATATCAGACTGAAAATATTTGGAGATAATTAGAAGGCAATGTTAAAAGAGCTGAGCCTCAGGAGGGCTTTCAGCTGCATGAGGAAGTGGTGAGGTTCTAGTTAGAAGAAAAGAAATGAGGCTTGATTTAGGGAGGGGTCATCATATTATATCAACTCTTATTCTCTGTGAATCAGAGAGAGAGAGAGAGAGAGAGAGAGAGAGAGAGAGAGAGAGAGAGAGAGAGAGAGAGATCTTTCTGAGTGTGACTGGGGAGGAAACTAGGTTTAGATATACATACCAATCCAGGGAGCCAGGAATCTGGAAGTAGTTTTAGTTTTGGGGTCTGAAAGCAAAGGAAAGACTTTTCAGAAAAGTATCAGTGACCAAATAAGGTAGCCTATAGGCAAGTGTGATTGAGGCATGGTCTGCCATGAGTTCTTGGTGACTGTCAGCAGTGTGTTGATCACTTCCCACTGGGTCCCAAGCCTTCAGTCTCTGCCCTGATAGTCAGTTGGGCTCAGGAAGGTAGGCTCTGGAGACGAGTCACTGAACACCCCCCTGCCCTGTAATGAAGATTTGAAGTGTAGAACATGACCTTAATGACAAGGAGGAAGACAGCAGAGCCTTGTGGTTTTTCTACAATGGGTAGTCAGTCTTTCTATGACACAGGACAGGGAGGGATATAGTCACTGTGGATATAAGGTTCATTTTTAACATCTGGGGCAATTTGTGTTATAGATCAGGTCAATTTGGTTTACAAAATTGAAAAGCAATAAAAGAAAAACAATTTTGGTGCTGCATAGCTGTTTTATTAAACATTCAGCAGTCAGAATAATATATAATTGCTGCCTTTGGTCTGGGTTGTGGCGTGGGTAAAGGGCTGGAAGAGGGTTCACACATTTAAATTGCCACTTTTTTTTTTCTGGAACTTTATAGACATAGTGTATGTACCCAGGAGAAAAGAGCTGCTGCTGACGGGATGGGATTTCATTCTCACCTGATCTCCCCAGAATCATCTTCATGTAGTCAGGATCGTAAATCATGAAGAAGATCCTACTTCCCCATACCCAGCGAGGACAGGCACTTGGGAATTTCTCTACCAATTTCAGCAGCAGTTGCAGTTCCTGGTCCATTTGGGTCTGTCATCAAGTGAAATAAAATCAATATGTTTTCCTTAAAATTCCGTTTTTGGAGTAGGAATGTAAGGTTTAACAGCTATGGGAAGGTTGGGCTGGATAGATCAGAGTCAGACTATTTATGAGGACCTGTGTTCTAGTCCAGACCCTTGCTGTCTCCCTATCTATAGGCTCTCATTCAGAACTTCCCTTAGAACTTTACATACAGTAAATACTTGATAAATAATATTCAGGGATGGACTCCAAGGTGCACAAAACTCCTTCACACATTTTCATTATAGTTTGTGTTCTTCACAATTTCATACATTAAATTGCTAACCCTTAATACCTCAAAAAGTGATGTTAGTTGAATGTAGGATTTTTATAGAGGTAATCAAAGTGAAGTGAGTTTATTGGGCTGGGCCCTCATTCAGCATGACTGTGGTCCTTATAAAAAGAGGAATTTGGGATACAGCAGTATGTGCAGAGAGAAGACAATGTGAAGGGAAATAGGGAGAATATGGCCAAAGACTCAGGTCAGCAATAAGAATCTTCTTCAGAGCCCATGAAGGAAACAGCCTTGTCAACACCGTGAACTTGGATAATACATTTCTGTTGTATGTGTTCCCAGTCTGTGGTTCTTTGTAATAGAGCCCTATCAACCTGGTACAATTATACAACGTTTAAGGCATTCCTGAGGTCAGGGAGGGAACATTAGGTTTATCCTGAAGAATGAGGAAACCAATATTAGATGATATGCCCACGTGATTGCATGAAAACCAAACCTGCTGACCCCAGAGTGTCCTTTCCCTGTGTTCCCACAGTTCTTGGGTGTCGATTTATTATCATATTTCAATTCAATCTTTTAATCCGAGGCCCTGTGCTGACAAATTTGGCTTCAATATCTGTCATCTCCATGTTTTCAGAGACCAGCATACAGCATGGCTGGTGGTAATTATGTCTTATTTTTGAAGAAATGAATAAGTGCATGAAGGAATCAGTGAGTTCATGTGGAAGAATGAATGGGTGAGTCTTCATTAGAATTCTTGTTACCAGGGACAGGTATAATCTTGGGCTAATGTAAGAAAAAGAAAAAGGAAAAAAAAAGAAGGTTGGGGCATTGAGGTACTGAGTGAAGTCCAAGTACCAGCATGGATAAGGGACAGAACTAGAGACTATGAGCTGCCAGTCCTCTGAGTCTCTTGCATTCGTTCATCTGGCAAATATTTGTTGAGGCCCTGCTGTGTTCCATGACTTTTCTAGAAGCTTGTGATAAAGCCATGAACCAACAGAAATACTCCTTGCTTTTGTGCAACTGAGGTTCACATGGTGACCAGGGCTACCCTTCCTGTGCTGACAAATCTCCATGTTACCACAGGTCACGTCTGTGTGGTGTGCTGAGTCCTCTTCTGAAAATCTGATTGTGATGATATAGCCACAGGGTCCACCTAGTCCTCTCAAGTGTGGCTAGCATTTCAGAAAGCTCTTAGGATTCACCTACTGGGGGAATAGAAGGGGGAGATAGTAGAAAGAAGGGGGAGATAGGTAGAGGTGTGCAAAAGTTTTTTCTACAGTCAATAAGTGAGTATATGAACAAGTAGAAGGAAGAATGGATTCATTCTTGATGAGAACTTACTTTGTATGAATTGCCTTCTTGGAGCTAGGGATAATCAGTGAACAAATACAGTTTCTGCTATCAYGTAGCTTATGTTCTAGTGGAGTAAGTCTGGGACAGTCAATCCTGACTTGAACTGAGAATTGTCCTGCTTAAATTCCTGAAGAAGGCTACTCTATATTCTTTTGTCATTTCCTTATAGAAGCTTCTTTTGTCCTTTAATCTAGTATGGAGCCTGGTTAGTGAGAGCCATTACCCTCCAGTTATATGGCTGTGTCCCCTGCAGGGACCTGGGGGACTCTGTTCAGCACTGTTATGCATTCATTTGGATTGCTTGGTACCCAAGGTAGTCTGCTGCATGCTAATGCTGCTCTGGGTACTGTCATTGGTCAAACCTAACTACACATAGCATTCAAGTTCCTAACTTAGGTAGCAGAGCTAGTTAATAAATGACAATCTCTATAAGACTAGAAATATTTTTCTATAACTGTTATTAGCTAACGCAAGTTGAAAGGTAACTCAGGACTATAATATTATTTATGTAAATGATATTATCTATTTGTCAAGTCTACAAATAATCTAACGTGTATCAGTGTAATGGAAATTTCCCTGGAGAAGTCGTTAATGGGTCATCATATCAGCAGCTAGTTCTGAAAAAAAAAATCATTCAGTTGGTTACACCTACATCAAACAAAAGTTAACAATGTTTCAAAATCAACAAATAATCTAGAAGTTTTTGGTATAGCAATTTGCATAATCAATCTGAGTATTTCTCTATGGCCAATTCTAATGGTTCCTATATTTGGTTCCCCATATGCTGATAATTATTTGGCATCCTCATAGAAAGTGGTAGCTCTGTGTACCTCACCTCCAAGGTTGCCAGTAGTTGCTCCTTTCTCTCCTCCTAGTGACTCCATACCTATACCAGGCTATGAAGGGCTTTGTAGTACAGGGAGGGGATGATTGGCTTGGTTCTAAGGATATCACAGTCAGGGTGTGTGGGAGGAGATTGGAGAGGTTAACAGGTYATGTTTAATGAATAAGTAAAAAATTAGTACTGCTCAATTGCCGGTCATCCTGTCTCCCTCATTCATTCATACCACTGTTAGGGTTTCAGCTCTAAATCACCCATTCTGGAAAATTCCTTAGTTTTAGGCAAACCAAATCAGTTTGTCCCTCCTCTGGATATCATTCACCCATCACAGAGGAATGACTACTTTCTTGTGGACAGACACATTCTGAGATTCATGTCCATTGTCACCATACACCAAGAACTCCACAGGGCAGAGATTCCATAATACTAATGTCTGTGATCCCGGGCAACCTCAGGCCAGGTACAGAGGACAGCATTGAGTGGCCAGGGCAGGGAAGCCTTATTCTTTGAGAATAGATGAGAGAACTAAGGGTGCTCAATCTGAAGAGGAGACTCAGAAAGGAACCACAGAGTTTCTAGGATAGACGGCAGATCTGCATAGGGAAGGAGCATGTGACAGAGCTGAGTTAACAGCATTACAGGATTCTTGTGAGGGATGAGCTCACCTGAGAGGTGAGYTAGGTGTTCCCTGGAGGCCATGTCTGCTGGTCACACAAGAGGCTTTGCCCTGTGGACTTGTTGACTAGGCTCTGAGAGCTCTGGCCTCCCTGCCCTCCTATTCCCCTTCCTCCTTGTTCCTACCTTGTGCCCAAAGAGCCAGTGGGAGGGCGGGGATGGGAACTGCTGGGTAGCTTTGAGCAGCCATTGCCTGCGCAGGTAGAACTGGGCTGCCTTGAACAGCAGCAGAAGCAGACAGAGCAGGGAGGCCAGCTGGAGGAACCCAAAGATGCCGCCCTGGAGTCTGAAGAAGCTCAGTGCAGAGACGCTCATGGTGCAGCAGCTTCTAGATTATTTGCTGTTTCTTAGTGTCACTGAACACCCACCTGACCTACTCTGCCTCTGCCTGGAAATATATCCCTCCTACCTGTGGGAGGGAGAAAGTAGAGGGCAGAGCTTGACCTCAGAGTCCAGAGCTGGTTAATATGAAAAATCCACCATGGAAGACAGGAATTTTGGTCAGCTGATAGTGATAAGGGTCATATGTATACTATTTTCCTCCTCTTCCTTTCACTCATAAATATTTATTTATACATTTATCTGTTGACCACTTTCCCTGTTTTTTTTCTCTTTTTAATTTGAAAGCGAGTTTATTTTTTATTTGTACACAGTAACAGTACAGTGTGATATTTAAGCACACGGATGCAGCGTGTACTGATTCTACAAGGGTACTTATCATTCCCGTCTCCTTTAACATTTATCTTTTCTTTCTCTTTTCCGTTGACAAAGTTTTATTTTTTTAAATATCAAACAAGATTATCATACAAAAATGGCTATTCTGCTAAAGCACTGTCTAAAGTGGGGGTCTCCATGTCCTGGGCCTCTTCCCAAACGTCATGGCTTTGACTGCTGCTCTACTGCCCCGGCAGAGAGTTCCTGGAGTTCACTTAAGAAGTTCGGCACCTGCGAATTTGCTTTAGATTCACCAATGTCAAGTTCTCTTAGTAGATGGTGAGTGACCCTCAGTGAGACTGCAGAGCACCTAAAGTATCTATCTTTTGGGTAGCTAGTGCTTCCTGGTGTCCAGGGCTGTGGTGAATGAGTGTCTTGCATTGCTCCATGAAGCATTCAGCCACTTCTTGAGGGGGCTGAGCATGCTCATGTSGGCTCTGGGCACATTTGCCAGCTCCTACTGCCTCTGATGGGAGAAGTCTTAGCTTCATCTCACAAGCCTTATCCTGTAGCTTCTCCCTTCCTTGGCACATTATCAATGAATTCTTTGGTGCCCCTCCTTTGAACTGAGCGTGACTGTTCTCCATCCCATGCTATCTTTACTTTTCTGGAGCAGGTAGGGTTTCCTTCTGCCTTTACACACCTCCCACTGGCTTTTAACCCCTCTGCTGCAGGAGCCTTTTTGGTCATGTTCTTCATGTACTGCAAGCGTGGATGCTTGACCACTCTCTGACCTCACACTCCTTTCCTTTTGTCTTGGTGCCAAGGGGAGTGTTGGAACAGATCACAGAAGCCTTCTCAGCCGTGACCTGGGACATCCTCAGTTTCCCTCTTCCCCCCATCCTTCCTAGCCTGTAGTGACCACTGTTTTACACTCCACTTCTATGAAACCAACATCTTAGCTATAATCAATAAATGGACCAAAGAACTGATCAGACACTGCACAGAAGAAGAAATTCTGTCGATCAACAAATATATGAAAAAATGTTCGACATCACTAGCAACTAGAGAAATGCAAATCAAAACTACACTGAGATTTCATCTCACTCTAGTCAGAAGGGCAACAATGAAGAACACAAGTAACAATAAATGTTGGCAAGGGTGTGGGGGAAAAGGCACACTCATACATTGCTGGTGGGACTGCAAATGGGTGCAGCTACTCTGGAAAGCAGTATGGAGATCCCTCAGAAAACTTGGAATGAAACCACCATTTGGCCCAGTTATCCCACTCCTGGGTATATACCAAAAGGACTTAAAATCAGCATACTACAGTGATGTAGCCACATCAATATTTATAGTGGTTGAATTCACAATTGAGCTAAGCTTTGGAATCAACCTAGGTGCCCTTCAACAGGTGAATGGATAAAGAAAATGTGGTCTATATACACAATGGAATATCACTCAGTCATTAAAACAATGACTTCATGATGTTTTCAGGTAAATGGATGGATCTGGAAACTATTATGCTAAGTGAAATATTCCAATCCCCCAAAACCACAGGTCAAATGTTCTTTCTGATATGTAGATGCTAACACAAAAAAACGGGGGATGAAGAAGCATAGAATTTCAATAGATTAGACAAAAGGGAATGAAGAGAAAGGTGGGGACAGGATTAGGAAAGACAACGGAAAGTATCTGACTTAAATTTCCTATATACATATACAAATATACAACAGTGAATCTCAGGTATAATCACAAGACTGGGATCCTAATTAGAATAAGAGTGTACTCCATATTGGTCTAAATATGTTAAAATATACCCTACTGTCATGAATAACTAAAAAGAAGAAAAATTTTAAAAAGAGAAAACATGGAATTTGTATTTCTGTGACTGATTGATTTCACTTAATTCAGTGTCCTCCAGTTCCATGCCAGTTGCTGCAAATGCCAGGATTTTATTCTTCTTGTGGCTGAATAATATCCCATTGTGTATATACCATATTTCCTTTATCCATTCTTCTGTTGAGAGACACCTTGTTTGAGTCCATATCTTGGCTATTGTTCATAGCACAGCAATAAACTTGGGAATGCAAGTATCTCTTTGTTATGCTGATTTCATTTCTTTTGGAAAAATGCTTAGTAGTAGGAAAGAGGGATCATATGGTAGTGCTGCGCCCCTCCCCTGACTCAGGCAATGGCAAGGCCCTACTGAGGTGGATGGCGCAAGGCGTCCATCCTCTGGAGGAGTGCAGTATGTTTCTGGGAATGGGCTGGTTTGTTTTTGTATTCCTTTAATAAGTATAGTTGBRAYTTCTCATATGAYCRTTAAGTATGAAGGAAAAAACATGACTTTCCCAATTAATGCAACTACTTCTAAAGAATAAATCTGTTTGCTCTAAATGCAATGATTCAGCTGTGGAGCGTAAWTTGTTAATRTCTAATGAAAAACTCCCTGTATTCCTGTCAAGGAAGTTTTTGAGAAATTAAATTAAAATCTAGAGAAGAARAATTAATGTTAAGAAGACAGATTAGTGCTTAGTACTGGGCAACTTGTTCTTGTTCCTGTGCACAATGGTTTGTGCTCTTACTTTTGTTTGATTAAAAGTAATAACAAGTCAACCACTTGCCGTAACCATGGCACCGGTTCCAGTCAGTAAGTCAAGAAAGAWTAGTCAAGGTATAGGCCAATAGTTTGGGACATTTCTAACTATTATTAAAAGTTAACTAAGCAGAAACAGCTCAAAGCAAAACGCGAACTGAAAGTAGAAATGCTTGCTTATGCATAAGCCAAGATACATTCTTCTATTCTAATTGTAGCTACGTAATATTTTGTTTCTTTGAATAATGATTCCTGTTTTGTAACCACAAAGTACTGTGAGCCTGCCAAAATGAAAAGTATATATGATCAACTTCACAAGTAAAGATGGGGATCAGCACCTTCACTTTGGTGTCTGTGTTGTTTCTCCACCCCTCTTTCGCCGACTCCTCACCATCCGTTCGTCTCCTGAGACCCCCTGTTGGAGCTAGACTCCTACATGGTAGTTCAATTTTTATCTTTTTGAGAAATCTCCCACTGTTTTCTGTAATGGCTGCACTAATTTACACTCCCACTGACCTTGTATCAGAGTTCTCTTTTTCCAGCATCCTTGTCACCTTGTCATTCTTTGTCTTTTTGATTATAGCCATTCTAACTGAGATGAAATGATATCTTTGTGATTTTGATTTGCATCTCTGTGGTGGCTAATGATATTTGGCATACAAGTTCCTCCTCTCCCTTCTCCTACCATCACTTCCCTTTATCTAATCTAAGGTAATGCTATTCTTCCCTAGTGCCCCCTGCCTTATTGTGAATTAGTCAAATATTGGCTATTATCCACATATTAGAGAAAACATTCAGCCTTTGGTTTTGTGGGATTGGCTTATTTCCCTTAGTATGATATTCTCCAACTCCAACCACTTACTGGCAAATGCCATAATTTCACTCTTCTTAAAAGCTAAATAATATTCCAGTGGGTAGATATACCACATTTTCTTTATCCATTCATCTATTGAGGAACACCTAGGTTAAAAAGCAATCATGAAATTTATTTGGAAAAATAAGAAACCCAGAATAGATAAAGCAATCCTTAGCAAGAAAAGTGAAGCAGGAGGCATCACAATACCAGATCTTAAACTATACAACAGAGCTATAGTAACAAAAATATCATGGTATTGGCAGCAAAATAGACTTGTAGACCAATCGTAGCTATTGTGAATTGATCTACTATGAACATTGATGTGGCTGTGTCACTATAGTATGCTGATTTTAAGTCCTTTGCGTATAAACCACAGAGTGGGATAGCTGGGTCAAATGGTGGTTCCATTCCCGGTTTTCTGAGGAATCTCCATACTGCTTTCCAGATTGGTTGCACCAATTTGCAGTCCTACCAGCAATGTATGAGTGTGCCTTTTCCCCCCCACATTCTCGTCAACATTTATTGTTGCCTGTATTCTTGATGATTGCCATTCTCACAGGAATGAGATGAAATCTTAAGAGTAGTTTTGATTTGAATTTCTCTAATTGCTAGAGATGTTGAACACTTTTTCGTATATTTGTTGATCAACTGTATTTCTTCCCTGTGAAGTGTCTGTTCAGTTCTTTAGCTCATTTATTGACTGGGTTATTATATTATTTTTTTAGTGTTAAGTTTTTTGAGTTCTTAATATATCCTAGATATTAACGCTTTATCGGAGGTGCATGTGGTAGAAGTTTTCTCCCAATCTGTAGGATCTCCCCTCAAGTTATTGTTTTCTTTGCTGAGAAGGAGCTTTTTAATTTGATAAATCTCATTTATTGATACTTGATTTTACTTCTTGCGCTTTAGGAGTCTTGTTGAGGAAGTCAGATCCTAGGCTGACGTGGTGAAGACTTAGGCCTATTTTTTCTTCTATTAGGTGCAGTGTCTCTGTCTTAGTGCCTAAGTCTTTGATCCACTTTGAGTTGATTTTTGTGCAGGGTGAGAGATAGAGGTTTAATTTCATTTTGCTACATATGGACTTCCAGTTTTGCCAGCACCATTTGTTGAATAGGCTAACTTTTCTCCAGTGAATATTTTTTGGCACCCTTGTCAAGTATGAGATAACCGTATTTATGTGGGTTTGTCTCTGTATCTTCTATTCTG